CGCAGTCTCCTTTTGTTGTATATAAGTTGTTTAACCTTGTTTTCGCAACTTGGTCATATTGGTAGGAAGAGGAACGCACCTAGTCCATAGAATGCATGATAATTTCCAAAGTTCGACCGTGGACGTGGTACATTCGCAGACGTTTCGCCGGCATCGTCAGTGAGTCTCGTCATTCTTAGCACCATATTACAGCTCTTCAAAGAGACAAGTGAAGCCCATACTTTGACCAAACGTGTGCTAAATAGTTGTGGTATCTCCCCTTCTGCCCTGGGTTATTCACATTTCCTATATCCTCCTATCAAGCCTTCACTGTTACACTTTTTACCGTGATTATTTTGATGTAGTCTGGTGTGCTCCTTCGAGCGGCATTCATGAAAAGCCTTCACATTCCACGCTGTCCTTATCACCCCCTTGACACTTGTGCTGGGAATGTTGACCAGGGTCTGCCATATTGTTATGCAGTCCTCTTTCCCTGGGTGCTATCAGAGTCTCCCTCTTGCCCCATATAATCCGTCTGCTATCTCCCTGGTACACGTATTTCACTCAACCCCTGTCTCCCCATCTGTGCTACTCGAGGCGTTATTCGCACCCCCCTGCATCTCGGTGACTAATTCGAGGCCAAAGCGTCTGAGTAAGTCTTATGGTCATGCCTTTGCTACATGGACCACCTACTGTCAGCTAACTAGCTCGAATCGCCACCTCGTCTCTAAAAGTGGGCATAACTGAAGAAAGTATCGTAGTTTCTATAGAAACCGTTTTTATACCCTACTTTCTTACTTGTTCCGTCATTCTTTTAGAAAGAATGCACGAAGTTGAAGACAAAACATGAGAAAAGGTCTCCTTATCTCTCTTCTATGTTCCTCATGAGCCGCTCCTTGGCGATGTCTTTTCCTGTTGTTGAACGTGTGTCCTCGGTTCATACGTCTTGTTTTTATGTCTGCTGAATCTCTAGTCTGCCTAGGCATTACACGAAGATATCTTCAAATATACTCTTCATCAAGTTTCTTTAAAAAAGGATATCTGCGGCCGCCCTAATAGTTCGTGTTCTGGTATTTCCTTTTATATGAGGCCAGTCTTTCTGTTGCACTCCTGTCAATTGTGTGACCAGTAAGGACAATGTGTTCAACCATCTACGAGGTTTTGACGTTCGTTTTTCTGCATAGTCTCTGGTGTTAATTGATCCTTCTGCTGATTGTCCTTTCCATCTATCCGATGCATTTTTGTTTACAGTCCTTGCAGATTATGCTGTAAACTCAGGAGCTCTCCATTTTGTTGTGGGCTAGATGGTCAAGAAGGTTGTCCTTTCCTTCAAGATTGTACGAATGTTCCATGGTCCGATTCTGGACATCGCTAATACTTTAGCAAAGGACACAGAACTATGTACGTTTCACAAGGTCTCCCTGACCCTTCGATCTAATTAAGAAAACCAAGTCGAACCAATACTAAACGATCATTAGTTTTACATTTTGTGACTGTATGCGAAGGATCTTTGCATCTTTTATTTTAGTATTTGAAATGTTTCTATCCTAATTTCACTTATACAAAAAAACCGAAAATGCAGAAAAGAAACATATTCTTGCTTTATAACTACCTCTGTCTAAAATCCATGTTTCTGCAGGAATCGTATGTGGATATGCAAGGCAAAGTTGGCGAGTCTTCGTTTGCATAGTCTACATCTGTTAGGTTATCTGCCTAAATTAAGCGAGACAGAAATTCACTTGAAGATGCTGACCTAATTTAAGGTTCAGCCTAATCCATTGTTAAGAAAATCGTTACATAACTGAAAGCTTTTTTCACTAATAGCCCTTTATTAAATATTAGCAAAGAATATATTCTTCTAAGGTATGAAGACCAAGATGGTGTGGCCTTTTGTATATAGAGGTTGTTTACCTTGTTTTCGTAACTTGTTCATATTTGTAGGAAGACTTAAAGGAACGCACCTAGCCCGGAGTCCATTGTATGCATGCTCATTTCCAGAGTAGGGGCGTGGACGGTACATTCCCAGACGTTTCGCCGGCATCGTCAGTGAGTCTTGCCATTCTTGGCACCACACGACAACTCGTCACAGAGACAAATGAAGTCGATCCTTTGATCAAACGTGTGCTAAACAGTTGTGGTATCTCTCCTTATGCCCCGGCTATTCACATTTCCTATATTTTCCTATCACGCCCTCATTTTTACCATTTTTACCGTGTTTTTTTCGATGTGGTGTGGTGTGCTCCTTCGAGCGACATTCATGAAAACCTCTTAAACTCCACACTCTCGTTCTCACCCCTTCACCTTTGTGCTGGGAATGTTTATCAGAGTCTTCCATATTGTTACGCAGTCCTCCTTTCCTAGGCCTTATCAGAATCTCTCTCTTGCCCCGTAAGATCCGTCTGCTATCTTCCTGGTACACGTATTTCACTCGACCCCTGCCACCCCATCTGTGCTACTAGAGGCTTTATTACCCCACCCATGCATCTGGCTGACTAATTCGAGGATAAATCCTCTGAGTAAGCCTCATGGTCAAGCCTTTGCTACATGGACGGAGGACTGCCTAACAATATGGCAGACTCTGATCAACATTCCTAGCACAAGGGTGATGGGGTGGTGAGAACGCCAGCGTGGAGTTTGGAAGGTTTTCATGACTGCCGCTCATAGGAGCACACCACATTACATCTTAATAAGCACTTTAATAAATTTAAACAGTGAAGATGTGAAACGAGGATATATGAAATGTGAATAGCCCAGGGCAGAAGGGGAGATACCACAACTCTTTAGCACACGTTTGATCAAAGGACCGGCTTCACTTGTCTCTTTGACGAGTTGTAGTATTAAGCTAAGAATGGCAAGATTCAATGACTATCCTGGCTAAACGTCTAAGAATGTACCACGTCCACGGTTCGACTTTGGAATGATTATGCAGGCAATGAACTCCGGACTAGGTTCGTTCCTATAGGTCTTCCTACCAATATGACGAAGTTTCTAAAACAAGGTCAAACAACCTCAATGTATTCTTCTCTCTGCTTTACATTCTTCTATAAGCATACTCCATCACTTGTGAGTAAACATCAAGCATATATAGACATCTTAACAAGACCAACTTGAATGAACCCTTTGGCATAGTCTTGACTACAGTTCTGGCATTATCCTGCATATTTCTAAGCTGAAATTAGGCATTTGTTACTATCTCTGCATCATCTTAAACTCTAACCGAATGCTTAATTTTTCATTATATCGTGAAAGCGCACATCTTTCCCAGTACAAATTAAATTATGTTTAAAAATCTAACGAGGATCTATACACTATAGCATCGTTTAATAAAGTTCACTGACTATTCGTGAATGTGTTGAGAAATAAGGAACAGTCGTCTGCTACTTTTACCATTGAAACTGGTCGATCCGTGATGGATTTATGAATAAATTATGACTTAAAAATATTAATTGATTTATAATATCTAATTATTTTCATCAATCTCACTCCTGGTGATTTCTTATCAATTCTTGATTTTTATTGGCTTTTATTTTTAAATATATAGTATCTTATCAGGCTTATGCATATATGAGACAGTAACTTAAACCGTATATTTCGGACTCTAAAATTAACTGAGGTATATCTCATTTTGTATTACTTGTTTATTCCTTTGTATTATCAGCCTTATGAGGTTAGGCTAAATACCCTTTTCGAAGGTATGAAGACCAAGATGGTGTGGTCCCGGGTATGGACCCACTTCTATAAATACCCTTTTCTTCATTATTCCACTTCTCATATTTAGTTTAATCGACCTGAAACTTGGTGTTAATTTCAACGAGCCACAAGTTTTAGTTAGATAATATAACCGAACTGTATCGCTTTTACCTATATATAATTATACATATTTGCATTACTATTGCTCAAAATTTGGGTTGATGATGTCTCCCTCATTTTTTTATTTTGCCTATCGGCACTTAGTCTTCCAGCATATTCGCATTTACAAGATATCTGATATAGTCCTTTATATCAAATATTTACGCCCCTTATAAGTAAAATCCTTGGCCTTCATATACATTTGATCGGATTCCTCTTTTTTTTCTTCATATCGGATTTTATTACTCATGCTGGTACTCATCTAGGCTTCCTTTTTATTTGCTGAATGACGAATTGGAAGATACCTAGAATTTACTACATAAATGTTGTGTTAAACTGGCTAATAAAAATCGGTATTCTTCGTTAATATCTTTTGAATTAAGTATTTGCTAGGCCTAGTAATTAAAGTGCACAATTTGTCACTCAGGGTTGAGGATTGATAGTTGATCTATTCAAGCCATAGAGTTGCATTTTTGTGCCACAAAAAACTTCATGTAATTTATTTTGGACGAAAATTAAAAACCTAGATTCCCTGATGGAATTCTCATTCAGATCAGGTTGGTTTGTAGAGACTCTTGTTACTATTCCTTCTCTTTAACTATATTTTTCCTCCAGGGTTATAAGTTGAGATTAGTTTCTATTTTGTGATAGAAGCACTCAGGCAAGGACCTAGTTTTGGCTCCTTTCCTGGAGGCTGATGAAGACTAGTTGAAGTTTAAACTGTTCTCCACTTTGTATCAAAATTGTAACCGTTAGTATTTGACAGATGAACAATCACTCACTATACCTTCAAGATAACATTTAAACGCCTTTATTATTAAGCGAATTTCATTAATGTACGAGTTATTTCTATTAATACGATTTGATTTATTTTGTCCCGTCACTAAAGATTGGTCAACTGTTTCATGACAAATTTTTGCTTTCTTGCCAACGATTAGGCCTTTTCTCAGTATCCTTGATCCATCACATACTCGCCCTATTCTTGATGATATGGTGGTTCGCTGCGTTCATCAGCTCGTCAATTCGCATGCTAGCAACATTCGTTCCGGTTGGCCAGTGATCTTTGCTGTTTTTCAGCGTCTTGCGGCTACCAGCTCAGATGAGGTAGTCATTGATCTTGCCTTCTCTGCTTGCCAGTTTGTGGTTCAGGAGGTTCTGCCTCTACACTTCTACATCCTCGTTTCGGCATTCCAAGTGAGCCATCTTTCCTCTTTTATTAGACATTTCATTTTCATTCCGTGTTATTCTAATCTTTTTTCTTTTGTTACTGTTTTTATTGCCTGCCTTATATCGCAATTATTTATTATGCTTTCTCTTCGTCTAGGTGACCAAGTTGTTGAAAAAGCACTTGAACCC